GCTGCCACACTCCATTGACTGGAGCACAATTGCTCTCCAGAATCTGCAGCTGCCTGCAGTGAAAGGTGCTGGTGCCAGTTACTGGGCTGGTGCTGAGCGACTGGACCCTGCTTTGCTGCAGTGTCGACTCACACCCAGCTCTGCTTTGCACTCAGCCGCTGATGTTCTGTGCATTAAAAACACAATGTTAAATTCACCTGCAGAATGATCATAAATACTGCTATTTCTCTTTTTTCTTCTTTCTCTTCCAATTCTTCCATTTCCCACCAGTCATTTCAAATCAGAAGTTCTTGTTCCAATGAAAACCAGTAAACACTCTTCTCACTGTGGCACTGGGCAAACTGGAGTTTGTTTGATCATGTGATGAGGTGGCAGCCACCGGGCTCCCCACATCGTCAGCGGTAAGTGCTCCACGATCCCATCACCAGCTGCTCTCAGTGAATCCCATTAGGGCATGAAAAAGGGAAAGGCACAAATAGCAAAGTACATGAAATAAATTGACTCTCAGGTTTTTGGGGTTTTTTTTTTTGCAATAGAAAAAGCCTTAACTAAACCATCTTTCAAGGAAGAAATAATCTTTCAGCTTGTGTTAAGGCCACTCTCGTGACCGAATCCAATTTCCACAACTACAACAGGGTTGCCCAAGGAGTGTGTGAAAGGAAGCCAAGCATGGACCTGTCCTATCAAACTCTACCATTGTTCAAAGCTGCTCACTGGGAGGTAGAACAGACTAGACTATTCCAGTTGGAAGGGACCAACAACGATCATCTAATCCAAGTGCCTGACCAGTTACAGCATGTTAAGGGCATTGTCCAAATGCCTCTTAAACACTGACAGGCTTGGGGCATCAACAACCTCTCTAGGAAGCCTGTTCCAGTGTTTGACCACCCCTCTTGGTAAAGAAATGCTTCCTCATGTCCAGTCTAAACCTCCCCAGTGCAGTTTTGAACCATTCCCACCATGGTTGCTTTGTTACCAGAGCACAGAGAGGTTCGTTTTGTAGGTGAGCAGAGTACAATGATGAAAGTTCCATCCTGTCTGACCACAGTTTGGATTCATTCTGGTCTAGCTAAATTGTTATCATTTGCACCACATTACATCTGAGCGGCAGGAAGTATTGCTATTAGATCCTGCAATAAAGAGTGTTCCTCAAGGCGAGCGTCAGCTAGCACAGCTCTCCACAAGAGCTCCATAAAGCCAGCTACCTCCCGTCATCTTTTATGACACTCTCTACTGATCAGATTATACAAACAGAACTGTAATATGCAAAGGATTAACTGAAGAGACAAATTCAAGTAAGACCCACTGCAGGCTCCGAAAAGGTCCATTTCCACAAACCTTCCTAACGAAGGCACACAAAGGGATCTGAGCTGTGCCTAACCCCATGCTCCTGCTCATTCACAGAGCACGGTTTGAAGGCAGCAGTCTAGTGAAACAAAGTTCAATCCTCAACTGAAATTCTCTCTCTTGCAGAAACAGAAGGGCTGTTTTACTCTTTTCTGCACTTCAAAGCCAGACATCGACAGTGCAAGCAAGAAAGGAGGCTGTGTCCTGCCAGGAGCGGTGAGCAGCAGCGTCTCAGAGCAGCGACCGACTGGTGACAAGTGGCACCTTAGTCCCAGGAATCCCTCAATGCAGTGACCTCGGGGTGCTTCTGGATCATTAAAGCTGGGAGAAGGCAAGGGAAAGGCTGAGGCTGCTGCTGGCATTTTCAGTGTATATTGTCCATACGACAACGCTCAATGCTACAAGCTTTGTTTTCTGTATACTGTTTAGTTGTCCAATGCATAATAAATGCACTGCACAACGTAAATCCTATAAACCAAAGCCATGCGGAGTTCTACTCAGTGGCAGCTCAGTTATTTTTACAATCTGCATCCTATTTACTCCTTGGATTTTGGTTAGTCCCAGGCTTTGTCACTCTGGTGTTCAGCATCGACCAGCTGCCCAGGCTGCACCGTTCTCACTCCAGCTACAAGAGGAAAGACAACCTGCCAGCCACCTCCATATGTCTGATAATAACCACAGCAAGGTCTAAACTCCCTGCTTCCAAGTTTGTAATTGCACAATAAATACTTGCTTAATAAAGCTGAGTTTTGTTTTGTAAAGTGCCTGTTGGTTATTCATAGAAATTTGACGTGGAAATGGTCTATTAAATCCTTTCTAAAGCATTCCCCGTGCACCTGCTGCCCTGCTCCCTCTGGGATTCTTCCAGCAAAGCGTTACGTGGTAAATAAGCAGATTGCAGCAGAAAGTCAAACAAGACAAATATAGGTGTGTTGTGTAGGTACGATAGAGAGAGAATTCTCCACTTCTGTGATCTGTTTCTCTGAAGAAAGATCTAGGAGGGAAGTACTGAAGCCACAGCAGGTTTTAAGGATTAACTGCAGCGTAGATAAAAAGTTTTAAAAGGCTCCACATGAGGGTTTTAATGTGAACAGAGAAATTCAGCTAAAAGAGCTTGAATTGGCTAAAACAAGAAAAAGAAATAATGTCCTGGTTTATAAACCCCTCTGGAAATAACAGCTTTGGGGATGTTTTTATTTGCGGTAGAAGACTGACGTCTCTCCCCATTGTTCCTCCAGCCAGTCCCACCGAGGTTCGTCCTCTCCAGGGGCTGCTCCTTGGGCTCGGTGCAGCTATTTTCCAGAGGTATGGAAACTCAGTTTGCTAAAAACAGGGATGTTAGGCACACAAGAACTCCAGCCGGAAAATGGGAATAAATACACCAGTCCGTGTCTGCAGGGGAGGAAGGCGATGCCGCTGGGCACGGGCGCTGGCTCAGGAGCAGCTCTCATAGTAGGCGGCTCGCTTGTTGATGGCGTCCCGGATCCTGCCCACCTGCTCCTCCAAACCCGACAGTCTGGCTGACTTGGACATCAGAGCCTGGTTGCTTTCCTGAATTTCTGTCTGTAAAGCTGAGGAGAGAGGGCAGGAGAGGGTTAGAATGGACAGGAGGAAGGCACCCTGGCCACTACCCTCCCCAGCAGGCTGGACAGCTCTAGTGGAGCCAGAAAAACCAAGGTCCTGCATCCCCCTTCTCCCCCTCAAAACCCCACCAACACGACTGCTTGGAACAAAGCCGTTAGTTTTGAATGCTTAAAAATGGAAGTGAGCGTGCGGGGGAAATGGGGGATCATTGCAGGCAGGGGGTCCTCTCCACGGCCACCCACGCACCCTTGAAAACTCTACATTTATGGGCACGGCACCAGCAGATGCAGCCCAAATCCACACCGTCTCGCTGCCAAAAGTAGGTTGTCTTTCCTGTAGTTTCTTTCTCTAATCCCTCTGGGAATCAAAAGCCCTTCCCCAGTGAGTGAGATTATTATGTGGAGGTGACAGTCTTACTTTCCATCCGGAGCATCATGGCCAAAGTTTCCTCCAGCAGAGCTCGTGCCTCCAGGTCAATGCTTTGCACCCTCAAAAGCCCTTCCCCAGTGAGTGAGATTATTATGTGGAGTTGACAAAGAGTCTTACTTTCCATCCGGAGCATCATGGCCAAAGTTTCCTCCAGCAGAGCCCGTGCCTCCAGGTCAATGCTTTGCACCCTGCTGCCCTGCTCCCCCAGCGCCGGGCTCTGCGCCATCCTTCCCTTCAGCTCCGCATACAGCTGCTTCACTTGTTCAAAAGCCTGGGGAAAAGCAAACAAGCAGTGTAGGTAGGATCGAGCAAATAGACTGAGGGAAAGGGGATTTTCCAATGTTGAATTCTTTTTAAATATTAAATGGATACTGCACTGGAGCTTTGCCATGATGTTATTATGCAAATACATCACAGTTTGTGATGCACTCAGAAGGATGCTGATGGGCAGCTGTAACGGCTCCTCTGCCTCAGGGGGAGATACTGCAGAGAGAAGTTTTCTCAATCCTAATGCTTTTTGCTGGAAAGTCCTCGAAAAATTCACTAGTGGGGTGCTGCATCAGATTAATAAGAATTGACACGACAACAACAAGCCGTGACCTGAACAGGAACCCCTCCTCGCCTCATCTAAAAACATGCCAGGACACAGCTGGCTTTGCTGTCTGATGACAGCGGGGAAGCAGAGCCCAGCTGTGACCATCCCAGATCCCGGTACCTGCTGGGCGTTCCCGGCCTCCTCGCCCGCCTGCCCGGCCGTCTGCCGCGCGTCGGT